ATATATTTCATGTCAAAAAATCTCCAAATAAGGATTTTATTTGGGGAATGATTTGTGATGACCAATTTTGGGTAAATGATAACCTACCATCCATGATATATGTAATAAAACATCCCTAAATCAAAAAGTTCTTGAATTTGAGTGCCTATTTGGTCACCAAAATTTATTTAATTGTTCAATTGTCCACAAATGTGGACCTGATGTAGGGACCAATTTCGGAAACCACAATTTGTGGCAAATGATAACCTACCGCTGAATTACAGCATATATATATAGTGTATCTTATGAAAAATATCCCCAAATCAAAAATTCCCCAAAACTAAAATCCCCATTTGGTGACCAGAATTTATATCAATTGCTTTTTTTTCCCCAAATGGGGATATGATTTGGGGGTTAATTCAGGGAACCTCAATTTGGGGCAAATGATAGTCATTCAATCTTTATCGAGCATATATCTTTAATATAATCACAATTAACAAACCAACGTTTTTCATTGCACCAGAAAGGCGTCTGGAATGGAACAATTAATGATTCGATATATATAGGAAGGGTGTGAGTACCGTTTCTTTACACCCACACCCTCATCCACATCCACATTCACACCCACCCCATCACCCACACCCTCGAGCGTATAGTGAATTGAAAGAAACGAATAATATTGTACTGAATCTAGCTGGATTAACACCTTCTTATCATGCTTATAAAGATTTATTGGCTCAACCCGATGTTCAAGCATTGATCAATGAAGCCGAAAAAGGCCCAATTAAGAATTATGATCAAGCTATAGAATTAGATCATATATTTGAACGGCGACCAAGCGTATGATTTATCCAATAGAAAGAACCGAATAGAATAACATTTTCTAAATTAACCTTTGTTGAATGTAACTTTTCTGTTTTGAAAAACTAATTCAGTTTCTTTTGACATGACTCATCCTTCATTTCAATGTCGATGATAGCCAAGGAAGAAGTGGTTGGCACCATTGTCGTCAATACTTCACACTCAGATCTTTTGTTTTTTCTTTTAGTATCATCTGCAAATGATCAATAAGGTGCCAAGTAAAAGATTTGTACCAATCAGTCAGCTAGAAAGAACAACAATAGTATCAAAAGAAGGCGAACGAACAGAATGTTGCTCTGAAGGAAAAAAAATGAAGAGAATAAGAAATGGAAAAGAAGTGTGGTTAGATCAGTGCAGTATGTAGAACAGTAGCTAAGAGTTACCGGGATTTATTGAGTTCTTTCAAACCAGCAGATTTATCTAATGATAGCGTATAGTACATTTTGACTGTATCAAAAGAGAGTCATAGGTCTCAAGGATCAGTCTTCATCCTCAGCTAGTTCCTCGCTCTTAGTGTCGTTCTCGGGTTCATCCTCAGATAGGTACCCGCTTTCAACAGAATTCTTTTCGTTTGATGATAAAATGTATAACGTAATTTATAAAAATATGTCAAAAGATCCCGAAAAGATAAATCCGAGAAGCTGCTCGCGTACGTACGTCCGAATAGGTCAATATTTTCAAGTTGTTCTTTATTTTACTTATAGTAATCATTACGTTCATTGATCGTAACTTCTTTTGCTTGTATTGTTTGAGATATTTGCTTCAGTACTTCAATAAATGATAGTCTTACACCGGTCTACCTCAATTAAGTTTAATAGAAGGGAAAGGAGAATGTTTTTTTGAGTTTGGCGTAAAATCAAATTTTCCATCAACTCTTTTTTCCAGCTAGTAGTTATCTTACAAGAGCAAAGAAAGATATTTCCTCTTTTACATGCATGATTTTTTTCCTACTTACAATAGAGGCGTTTCTGTTGTAAGTTGAAAGGACTAGATATATTAGCGACCATTGGCGCACTCTAAAGAAAGATATTCGAATTTTAAGGTATTTACAGAGTGTGGGTGTGGGTGCAGGTGTGGGTGTGGGGGTGGCTATGAGTGGGGGTGTGAGTCTTTTGTTCCATTCGCACGTACACCCACACCCAGATCTTCTAGAATCTATTCTTTATTTCACAACAAATCATGCTTTAGCTCTTTCAAATGAATACCTCCGTATAATGAACACTTTTTAATAGTTCCAATCATATGCACAATAAACAGATTTTATTGTATAAGTTTGTTTTTTTTTTTGTCAAAACCTTCTCCAATTCAATAGAAGAAGTAAAATAGACAAATATAAAAAGAAATCTCTGATATCAATATCATCTCTTAAACTCAAAACATCAGCACGATATAACTCCATATCAAACTATATACTGAAATTATTTCTTTATGGATATATGTACAATGTCTTTCCAATAATTTTAACCTTTAACTTAAAGAATGTAGATTTCTCAATGAATGGAAAATAGTTAAGATTATGACAGGATGTAGCACACAGCATTAATAGTGAAACTAAGTCAATTGAATATATCAAAGGAATTGTAGAAAATGATATAGTCTGAGTTGTCCATACAAAAAGTATTTATACTCTATGACGAAGATAATATTAAAGAGTTTTCTATATCAATTGGACTATCTTTAAGGAAGTAGCATAAGTCAATATTTATTTATAGTAATTCATTCATATAATGTATAGTCTACAAGAAGTTTTTCGATTGATGTAGTTGCTGACAACCTAAATATGTTAATTAGAACATCAATAGAAAAGAAATTAGAGTTTATGTTGCACTTTCGAGAACACGAAGTTATTAGAATATGTTAAGAGATAGAAACAACCAATAAACATCTACAAATTAGTTTATCAAACATGTCATACACAAGTTAAGCTACATTCTCTAACAGTATTAATGAACGATGTTCCAGTTGTATGTGTGTGTGAACGACTTTAAATACGTCGGATATATTTGGACTATTAAGTTGTCCATGCTCAAATTGATTAGAAACTGTTTAAAAAAGATTCAACGATAATACACAAAACTGAAATGATTGAAAGACAGTAGAGTCATTTTCATCAATCTATTTAGATAATGCTTTTTCACATATTCATTTCCATTTGTTTGCTTGACTTTTCTACCTTTTTTTGTTCTTTCTTCAGTATACTCAACAAGAATTGCTTTGACAAAAGTTTAGAGCTAATGTTAAAAATTATATCAGAAAAAAATATTTTAAAAAAAATCTCTAAATCAAATCTTTCAACTTGATTCTTCTTCAGTGATATTGCATTCTAGAGTAAATTTTAAAAAAAGAAATATAAATCTTTCCTAGAAATATTATTAAAATTTACTGAAAATAATTAAAAAAATAAATCATGTCAACAAATGATATCATAAACACTGATCTTGCTTGTTTTTTTCAACTTCCCTTATCCAATTTCCTCTCTTGGTGTCGTTAACATTATATTATCGTATTTTTCTTCTTTTCAACCTGTCTCTCAGCGTCCTATAACATCACAAATAAACAAAAAACATGCAGAATCAAAAAAATGATTTTATTTTTCGTTAAGTATTGTTTTTGTTCCAAATCAATAAAAACTTGAGTTTTTATTTCTATTGAATTTATAATGAAGACAAGTCTTGAAGATAAGAATATGTTGACCTCATTGAAACGATTGATGATTAGTTCCATACCAATAAAATTATTGATACTTTATAGATAAAATATATTCATTTGCTTTTTTTAAATATATTTTTTAGCTTTTTGGTCATTTTATTGAACGACATTGTCTTAATCCAACATTTATTTGTGAGCATCCACAAATAATGAGTCCATCGGGAAAATAGTATGAAATTTTTCTTTTTATATTTTCTATTTTCTATAAACATGATTATCTCATTTTATTATCTTTGTTTTCTTTTTTTTCTCTATTTTAATCATCGTTCTATACCTGGCTTAACAGAACGTTTTGAATTATTTGTTTGTTATAAAGAATAACTCAATTGAATGATCCACTTGTACAACGTGAAATGTTAGAATTACAAGCAAAAGTAAATATTATTATTTTTTTAAAACTTTAACAATTAATTTTGATAAATAATAAATTTTTTCTTTTTAAGAATAAACTAGTTGGTGATGAAGAAGCTCAAACAATTGATGAAAATTATTGTAAAGCACTTGAATATGGTTTACCTCCACAACTGGAGGTTGGGGTATAGGAATTGATCGTTTAACAATGATTTTAACAAATAGTAATAATATAAAAGTAAGTTATTTATTATTAATATAAATATAAATAGAATAGTAATGAAAATAATCTTGTTATTTTTGTTAATAAAAGCATATTAATGATACTATTCTTT